GGATCCGTGGTTCAAAACCATGTTTTTGGGCCACGGTATGACCAGGAAGCCGTGGATCCGTGATTTTTGTGGTGGATGCTGTGCCCCTGGCCATGAAGTTTGATCTGATGATGACTTTGGGCTGATCTTGTGCAAAAATCATGAAGATCCATGGGAATCCATGCTTCAAAACCACGTTTTTGGGCCACGGTATGGCCAGGCAGGCATGCATCCGAGTTTTTTGTGGTGGATGTTGTGCCCCTGGCCATGATATGTGATTTGACAGGGAGTTTGGGTTGGCCCAATGCAAAAAGCGTGAGGATCCATGAGGATCCGTGCTTCGAAACCACGTTTTTGGGCCACGGTATGGTCAGTAAGCCGTGGATCCGAGTTTTCTGTGGTGCAGGCAGTGCCCCTGGACATGATGTGTGATTTGACAGTGAGTTTGGGGTGGCCCAATGCAAAAAGCGTGAGGATCCATGAGGACCCGTGCTTTGGAACCACGTTTTTGGGCCATGGAGTGGCCAGGAAGCCGTGGATCCGAGTTTTTTGTGTTGTAGGCTGTGCCCCTGGACATGATGTGTGATTTGCCAGTGAGTTTGGGTTGGCCCAATGCAAAAAGAGTGAGGATCCATGAGGATCCGTGCTTTAAAACCACATTTTTGGGCCATGGAGTGGCCAGGAAGCCGTGGATCCGAGTTTTTTGTGGTGCAGGCAGTGCCCCTGGACATGATGTGTGATTTGACGGTGAGTTTGGGGTGGCCCAATGCAAAAAGCGTGAGGATCCATGAGGACCCATGCTTTGGAACCACGTTTTTGGGCCATGGAGTGGCCAGGAAGCCGTGGATCCGAGTTTTTTGTGGTGTAGGCTGTGCCCCTGGACATGATGTGTGATTTGCCAGTGAGTTTGGGTTGGCCCAATGCAAAAAGAGTGAGGATCCATGAGGATCCGTGCTTTAAAACCACGTTTTTGGGCCATGGAGTGGCCAGGAAGCCGTGGATCCGAGTTTTTTGTGGTGCAGGCAGTGCCCCTGGACATGATGTGTGATTTGACGGTGAGTTTGGGGTGGCCCAATGCAAAAAGCGTGAGGATCCATGAGGATCCGTGCTTCGGAACCACGTTTTTGGGCCATGGAGTGGCCAGGCAGCTGTGGATCCGAGTTTTTTGTGGTGCAGGCTGTGCCCCTGGGAATGATGTGTGATTTGACGGTGAGTTTGGGCGGATCTAGTGCAAAAAGCGTGAGGATCCATGAGGACCCGTGCTTTGGAACCACGTTTTTGGGCCATGGAGTGGCCAGGAAGCCGTGGATCCGAGTTTTTTGTGGTGCAGGCAGTGCCTCTGGACATGATGTGTGATTTGCCAGTGAGTTTGGGTTGGCCCAATGCAAAAAGAGTGAGGATCCATGAGGATCCGTGCTTTAAAACCACGTTTTTGGGCCATGGAGTGGCCAGGAAGCCGTGGATCCGAGTTTTTTGTGGTGCAGGCAGTGCCCCTGGACATGATGTGTGATTTGACGGTGAGTTTGGGGTGGCCCAATGCAAAAAGCGTGAGGATCCATGAGGATCCGTGCTTCGGAACCACGTTTTTGGGCCATGGAGTGGCCAGGCAGCTGTGGATCCGAGTTTTTTGTGGTGCAGGCTGTGCCCCTGGGAATGATGTGTGATTTGACGGTGAGTTTGGGCGGATCTAGTGCAAAAAGCGTGAGGATCCATGAGGATCCGTGCTTCGGAACCACGTTTTTGGGCCTTGGAGTGGCTAGGAAGCCGTGGATCCTAGTTTTCTGTGGTGCAGGCTCTGCCCCTGGACATGATGTGTGATTTGACGGTGAATTTGGGTTGGCCCAATGCAAAAAGCGTGAGGATCCATGAGGATCCGTGCTTCAAAACCACGTTTTTGGGCCATGGAGTGGCCAGGAAGCCGTGGATCCGAGTTTTTTGTGGTGCAGGCAGTGCCCCTGGACATGATGTGTGATTTGACGGTGAGTTTGGGGTGGCCCAATGCAAAAAGCGTGAGGATCCATGAGGACCCATGCTTTGGAACCACGTTTTTGGGCCATGGAGTGGCCAGGAAGCCGTGGATCCGAGTTTTTTGTGGTGTAGGCTGTGCCCCTGGACATGATGTGTGATTTGCCAGTGAGTTTGGGTTGGCCCAATGCAAAAAGAGTGAGGATCCATGAGGATCCGTGCTTTAAAACCACGTTTTTGGGCCATGGAGTGGCCAGGAAGCCGTGGATCCGAGTTTTTTGTGGTGCAGGCAGTGCCCCTGGACATGATGTGTGATTTGACGGTGAGTTTGGGGTGGCCCAATGCAAAAAGCGTGAGGATCCATGAGGATCCGTGCTTCGGAACCACGTTTTTGGGCCACGGTATGGTCAGTAAGCCGTGGATCCGAGTTTTCTGTGGTGCAGGCTGTGCCCCTGGGAATGATGTGTGATTTGACGGTGAGTTTGGGCGGATCTAGTGCAAAAAGCGTGAGGATCCATGAGGACCCGTGCTTCGGAACCACGTTTTTGGGCCTTGGAGTGGCTAGGAAGCCGTGGATCCTAGTTTTCTGTGGTGCAGGCTCTGCCCCTGGACATGATGTGTGATTTGACGGTGAATTTGGGTTGGCCCAATGCAAAAAGCGTGAGGATCCATGAGGATCCGTGCTTCAAAACCACGTTTTTGGGCCACGGTATGGTCAGTAAGTCGTGGATCCGTGATTTTTGTGGTGCAGGCTGTGCCCCTGGACATGATGTGTGATTTGACGGTGAATTTGGGGTGGCCCAATGCAAAAAGCGTGAGGATCCATGAGGATTTGTGGTTCGGAACCAAGTTTTTGGGCCACGGTTTCGCCAGGAAGCCGTGGATCTGTGATTTTTGTGTTGCATGCTGTGCCCATGGCCATGATGTTTGATCTGATGGTGACTTTGGGCTGATCTAGTGCAAAAATCATGAGGATTCATGAGGATCCGTGCTTCGGAACCACGTTTTTGGGCCAGGGCGTGGCCAGGCAGGTGTGGATCCGAGTTTTTTGTGGTGTAGGCTGTGCCCCTTACTATGATATGTGATTTGACGGTGAGTTTGGGTTGGCCCGATGCAGAAAGCGTGTGGATCCATGAAGATCCGTTCTTGAAAACCACGTTTTTGGGGCACGGTTTCGCCAGGAAGCCGTGGATCCGTGATTTTTGTGGTGGATGCTGTGCCCATGGCCATGATCTTTGATCTGATGGTGACTTTGGGCTGATCTAGTGGAAAAATCATGAGGATCCATGAGGATCCGTGTTTTTTAACCATGTTTTTGCGACCCTGCGCCCCCCCCGAAACAGTGGATGCGTGATTTTTTTGATGCTTTCTACAGAGTAAGACATGGTCTACAATATCATGGTGGTTTTATTTAATTTGAATGAAAAAATCATATGAATTCATGAGGATCCGTGTAGATCCGCCTTTTACCTTTTTCCCTTTCCTATCTAGGAATCCAGCTCGTTTCCGTTTAACCCTTGGCAAACCGAGCGCACCCAACTCACGCCTCTCCCTCTTTCGAGAGCCGGAGCATCGCGCACCAATGGCATCCCGAGAAGGCGGAGGAGGAGAGGTTTATGGATTACTTCCGGCAAGGGATACATTCAGTTTTGGACAGCAGCTGAAAGGCCCCCTAACAGCTGTCCCTTGAACACGGGTCCTAAGAAATCTTCATGGGCTCCCGGTCCGTTTCCGAACACCATTCAAAGTGTTGGTGCTGACCTTGAAAGCCCTAAATGGTCTCAGCCCAGTAGAAGGGAAGGAGCGTCTCCACGTCCATCGTTCAGCCCGGACACTGAGGTCCAGCTCCGAGGGTCTTCTGGCAGGTCCCTCATTGCGAGAAGTGAGGTTACAGAGGGCCTTCTCGGTTGTCGTGACTGCCCTGTGGAACGCTCTCCCACCAGATGTCAAGGAGATAAACCTCCATAAACGCCTGAAAGCAGCTCCGTATCGGGAAGCTTTTAATATTTCATGTTGGGTCATGTTTTCTTCTATTCTTTTGGAAGCTGCCCAGAGACAATGTTCTTGTTCTTGTTGTACATGTTGTTGTCGTTGGACATCCAGCTTTTCATAGCCAACAACACAGAGATAAAGGGCTGCTTCGTTCTGTGCTTTTGGACTGTGCTTTGGACTCCTAGGTGGGCTTGTGGTTCTGGTGCTTGTGGATTTCATGGGATTTAATGTTATGCCTTTATAAATGCACGGGGATAAGTGCATTTACACAGACATATTTCCGCAAAAAGACCCAAACTCCGGCATGTAGCCACAGGTGATACAATAGGAGCCTTTCTGCAAATGGCCTTTGCAACACAACTCGCTGGGTGGTAACAAAGTATACACCTTTGCCTCTTTACAACGTAGCCCCGTTTCCTCAATGAATCCACCCATTTCTTGATGAAATGTAACTTCTGCCAGGAAAACCTGAGCTGAAATAGTAAGGAGAGCAAAACAGCAGCCCCCGTCAGCCTCCAGACTCCCCCAGTCGCGTAGCAGGAGATTCTTCCTGAGCCCCCCCCCCACGTGAGATGGGTATGACATCATGGATGATCCATTGATGATCCATATGATCCATTGATGATCCCCATGATGCAAGCAGACTGGTCCAAAGAGCAGATCTCTATGCCTGAATGAAACGGGTCTGCGGTGATGGATTCTGGAGTCAAGAAATCCGCCCTTTCCAGTGATCTCTCAGGCTGGCCAGGAAAAGGCAGCGAGCAGGAATCCTCAGGCATCCCGATGGACAGACCTGTCATGTTGCCAAAACACGAACTCGGAGTCTGATCTGATTTCCATGCAGAACTCATTTTGTGACTTCGCTGTTGGATTGTCGGGATCAGCCCCTCCCCCCTCTCCTGATCCCAGAAGGAAGGGGGGGGGTTCCTCTCCTCCTCCTCCCCCACCCGCTCAACACTTTCCCTCCCCTCTCGGCACATCCTTCTCTCACCCCGCCCCCACCATCCCAAATCCCTCCCCCAGTACATTGCTCCTCCTCCTCCAATCCGGCTTCTGCTCCAGGAATGTGGGGGGGGTGAGCCCCCTCCAACTCTGCCTGCTTCTCCCGGAAGTGGAGCTTTCACTCCGAATTGTTGCTCTGCCCCGTAGCTCGGGGGGCGCTTTCGGAAAGGGGAGGGAGGAGGCAGGTGACCCCCCCCCCCGTGGATGTTGCAGGAAAGGAGAATCGGGAGCGAGGAGAAAGAGGTAAAGGGGCAGCGGGGGGCGGAGAGGGGGGGAAAGGACCCAGAGACCCCCGCCAGCTCCCCCAAGCGCCCCCAGGGGGCTTTCCTCGCAGGGCGGACCCCTCACCCCGTTCCCCCTGGCTCCGCGCGGAGAAAAGCGGCCCATGAAAAGGTTAAGGGGCGCGAGAGACGCCTTGATAGAGACCCCCCTGTCCCTCCCCGGCTCGTCTTGGGGGGCCCCTCCGGCTGGAGAGATGGGGGCGCAGGACGTGGGGGAGTGGTGCCTAGGAAGCCTCCGGATGCAGGGGAGACTCCGGGAGAGAGGGAGGGAGTCAAGGACGTGGGGGGAGAAGGGAGGGGGCATCTCCGAGGCAGGGAAGCACAGCATTGTCAGGGTGGGTGGGGAGATAGGAAGACCAGTCTTGCGGGAGGGGGCGTCTCCGTTGTGGCTTCTTCGGGGAATCTCTGGAGGGGCCGCCTTGGCCTCTCTCTCCCGCCCAGGAATCGACCCCCCCCCCTTCAGGGCGACCAGAGAGGAATCCCTGGAAAGTGGGGGTCCAGTCCCCCCACTCCTTCCTTCCTGCAAGCTCCATCCTCCTTCCACCCCATAATCCCCTGCCCTGTCCAGACGCAGCGATTCTGCCCAGTCCAACCACTGGTCCCCTGGAGAGGAGAAGAAATCCGAGAGGAAGAGGGGAGGGGGGAGGCCTTCTCAGAAGTGGCTCTTGGTTTCCACAATCCCACCCAGGAAGCAGCCAGAAACCTTTTCCTCTCCCTCAGGAAGCAGCCAGAAATCCCACCCAGGAAGCAGCCAGAAACCTTTTCCTCTCCCTCAGGCTTCCATCTTTAAGTCTCTTTTCCACTGCCTGGTTCATGAGGATGAGGATAATGTACACCTGTCATCAGAAACGGGTGCAGAGTCCATGGAATGGCTGTCAGGGCTGATATAGAAGTTGCACCTCCAAAGCATTTCTGTTCCTCTTATTCTTTGAAGGCAGTGTCAGAGTGACTGACAAGCTGAGATACAACCCATCAGCATCCGATGACAGTGACTGCATGAATCTTTCCAGTCAAAGGACCCATTTTCATGATAGACAGTGCCTGGGGCTGGAGGCTCTACACACCGGGTGTGCCTGTGCAGGCCAAAGACTGCCAGTATTAGCACAGGTGAGGTGTGTGGCCTTCCTAAATTTAAAGACTGTATGTAAATGAGAAGTCATGGGTGGGATTATATTTTACAGCAACCCTGGGATTTTCTCCACCCATAATATTTCATGAGCTGATATTGCAGTACAAATTCCAAAATAACTAGAAAAAATCACAATGTAATAAGAATGATTGTAGTATTTATATCCTGTCCATCTGGTTTGGTTTCCCCAGCCACTCTGGGCAGCTTCCAGTACAGTGGTACCTCAAATTAAGTACTTAATTCGTTCCGGAGGTCCGTACTTAACCTGAAACTGTTCTTCACCTGAAGCACCGCTTTAGCTAATGGGGCCTCCTGCTGCTGCCGCAGTGCCAGAGCCCGATTTCTATTCTCATCCTGAAGCAAAGTTCTTAACCTGAAGCACTATTTCTGGTTTAGTGGAGTCTGTAACCTGAAGCGTATGTAATCTGAGGTACCACTGTACACATAAAAGACAGTAAAACATCAAACATTAAAAACCTCCTGACACAGGGCTGCCTTCTCCTGTCTTCTAAATGTCAGATAGTTGTTCATTTCCTTGACCTCTGAAGGGAGGGCGTTCCACAGGGCGGGCACCACCACCGAGAAGGCCCTCTGCCTGGTTCCCTGTACCCTCAATTCTTGCAGGGAGGGAACCAGCAGAAGACCCTCAGAGGAGGACCTCAGTGTTCAGAGCGAAGGATGGTGGTGGAGACGCTCCTTCAGGGCTACAGCGCCAAGGCTGTTTAGAGCTTTAGGTCACACATCTTGCTCCTCCATAATGATCTCCAAGTCCGACATATAGTTAGCAGAGTAGGAAAAAACACTCAGAGGCAGCAAAAAATCAATTCAGCAGAGAAATTTAGTACTGAAGGCAAAGAAGCATGACTATCCAAAAACTGAATTTACAGTCAAACCCTAACATAGCATAGTGAAACAGCACTCAAGTAAGAAAGACACAAGCAGAGTAGAGAATAGCAGAATAGGAAGTGGGACCAGGCGCCTTTCAATACTGTGATTTATAAACAATTCAGTGTCAGAGTAACCTTGGGACTGGATAACAAGCTTGGCTCACTCCAGTTTAAGCCACCTTCTAATGGTTCCCAAAACAAGGAAGGTTCAGCATAATCTCATTACAACTTATTCCACCACCTGCTCTCAGCAGAAAGGAAACTCCCTTAGCAGCTAAAATGCTCCAGCTAGAGAAAACACCAGCTTTGAATCACACAGAGTAAAACCACCAGAACCTTCTTGAACCAATAGACTAGGAATGATCTCTATATGTCAGATCAATACTTTTGTTGCCTGAAAGATGCAACCATGACAATTTAAAGATCAGCACAAGCAGTTTGAATTGCACTTGGAAATGCACTGGGAGCCAGGGAAGATCCTTTAGGACCAGTGATATGTGGTCTAGGCAGCTGCTCCCAGTTACTAGTCCAGCTGTCACATTCTGAATTAGTTGCTGTTTCTGTTTCACCTTCAAAGGTAGCTCCATGTAGAGCGCATTGCAGTAGACCAAGCAGGAGGTAACCAGAGCACTGACCACCCTAGTGAGACAGTCTGCAGGCTGGTAGGGTCTGCCTGCCACCTGTCCCCCAGGGACAGTGCTTCTGTCTTGTCAGGATTCAACCTCAATCTGTTAGCCGCCATTTATCCACAAACCACCAAGGCCACCAACACAGGCCATTCACTATCTTCACTGGTTCCAATTTAAAATATAGGAAGAGCTGGGTATCACCCACATGCCTCTGAACACCCAGCCAAAAACCCCTGATGATCTCTCCCAGCGGCTTCATATAGATATTAAAAAGCATGGGGAGAGGACAGAGCCCAGGGGTCTGAACACTCATCCCCCAACACCATTTTATGGACATGGCCCAGGAGGAAGGAGGGGAACCACTGCATAGCAGGGTCCCCAGCACCTCTAGAGGGTTCAGAAGGATACAATGGTCAAAGGTCTCCAAAGCCACTGAGAGATCCAGCAGAACCAGGAAACAGCTTTCCCCTCAGACTCTAGCCCATCAGAGATCATCAAGCAGCACAACCAGGACAGTTTCTGTTGCATGATGAGGCCTGAATCCCAACTGGAAGGATTATGGTGGCAGAAGCTTTCCTGGTCCTGCACCCCCCAAAAGTTCCAGGAGCAGGACTTTCATTATGCCTTCTTGACTGTGGGATTCACTGACATATGCCTTCTTGACTGTGGGATTCACTGTTGTTCTCATCCTCTCCATCCACCAGGGCCTGCCTTCACCTCAACAGAATTCCCTAATACACCAAGGATTTGAGAACAGCCAGGTTTTGCCAGCCAGTTGAAGCCTTTCCTGGGATTGTGGCTTCTGGAAGAAACAGGTGAGAGCTGAGTGCAGGCTGGGGACCAATGGTGGATAAATTACCCCGTAAGGTGCATGACATTTCCCCCACCAAAGGTACTACCGCTCCCCTAACACCCCATGACACCATATGATTATAATATTTAAGACAGAACAGGAATAAATTCATGTCCCCAGAAATAACACAACTTCAGGCCATTAGTGAATCAATACTACATTCCCAAGGTACTACATATTCCACTAAGTACAGTTTATCATTTTCCCTTGAATATCCTGCTTTTCAGTGTCATTTTAGGATAGTCCTGCGTCAAAAGACGGGCACGAGATCAGACAGCACATCGTTCTTTAAAAAATAATGCTGCTTTATGAACATTGGTTGAGGATTAGGAAAGGTTGATGATGCATTACTATCATTTGACATAATTGCATATTCATTTCCTGAATGTTGGGAACATGGGTAGGAGGTGAGGGAATGTAGGAGACGTTGAAATAGGAGAAGGTGCTAATGGAGCTCTTTCCCTTTGTTCTGTTCCTTGAAATCAAAACAGGATTCCCTTTCTTCCCACTCTGAAGAAGGAGATGGAGAAGAGAGTCAAAACTCCAGGGGATTGGGTACCTTTCCCCCCCATTAGGAATAGAAATTAAAATGTGTGAAATGTGCACTATGCATCATTGAATTAGCACACATAGTTCACATCAACAACCTCCAACAGGGGAGAAACCATTTAATAGTATGGAGTGTGGGAAACGTTTCACTGATATTGGAAAACTTAGAACACATCAACGGACTCATACAGGGGAGAAACCATTTAAATGCCTGGAGTGCGGAAAGAGCTTTTCTGATAATGAACACCTTAGAAGACATCAACGGACTCACACAGGGGAGAAACCATATAAATGTATAGAGTGCGGAAAGAACTTTTCTGATAATGAACACCTTAGAAGACATCAACGGACTCACACAGGGGAGAAACCATTCAAATGCCTGGAGTGCGGAAAGAGCTTTACTGATAATGAACACCTTAGAACACATCAACGGACTCACACAGGGGAGAAACCATTTAAATGTATGGAGTGTGGAAAGGGCTTCAGTCGGAGTGGACACCTCAATATACATCTACAGACTCACACAGGGGAGAAACCATATAAATGTATGGAGTGTGAGAAGAGTTTTAGTATTAGTGAGAGCCTTAGAAGACATCAACGGACTCACACAGGGGAGAAACCATTTAAATGCCTGGAGTGCGGAAAGAGCTTCAGTCAGAATGGAGACCTTAAATTACACCAGCGGATTCACACAGGGGAGAAACCATATAAATGTCTGGAGTGCGGAAAGAGCTTTACTGGAAATGGACACCTTAGAAGTCATCAACGGACTCACACAGGGGAGAAACCATATAAATGTATAGAGTGTGGAAAGAGCTTTAGTGATAATGGAAGCCTTAGAAGACATCAACGGACTCACACAGGGGAGAAACCATTTAAATGCCTGGAGTGCGGAAAGAGCTTTTCTGATAATGAACACCTTAGAAGACATCAACGGACTCACACAGGGGAGAAACCATTTAAATGTATGGAGTGTGGAAAGGGCTTCAGTCAGAGTGGACACCTCAATATACATCTACAGACTCACACAGGGGAGAAACCATATAAATGTATAGAGTGCAGAAAGAGCTTTACTGATAATGGACACCTTAGAAGTCATCAACGGACTCACACAGGGGAGAAACCATTTAAATGCCTGTAGTGCGGAAAGAGCTTTACTGATAATGAACACCTTAGAACACATCAACGGACTCACACAGGGGAGAAACCATTTAAATGTATGGAGTGTGGAAAGGGCTTCAGTCAGAGTGGACACCTCAATATACATCTACAGACTCACACACGGGAGAAACCATATAAATGTATAGAGTGCAGAAAGAGCTTTAGTGATAATGGAAGCCTTAGAACACATCAACGGACTCACACAGGAGAGAAACCATTTAAATGCCTGGAGTGCGGAAAGAGCTTCAGTTGGAGTGGACACCTTAGAAAACATTGGCAGACACATGACGGAAAAATTGTTAAAATGTATGGCGTGTGGTAGGAGCTGCAGTCAGCGTGGAACCCTTCATTTATGTCAACCAACTCACACAAAAGCCAAACCTTATAAATATCAGGAAAGTAGATAGAGGTTCAGTCCTAGTGGAAGTTCTAAATCAACAGACTCACGGACAGGAAGAACTTTAGGAGTTGAAACCCTACAAACCATCAACAAACTCAAAGAGGAGAAGCAGTTTAAATGAAAAGATTGCAAAAAGTGCTTTATTTACAATGGAGTGTTTAAGGAACATCCAGGGACTCTCACATGGAAGAACCCATTTTGATGTCTGGAGTGTGGGACATCTTCCTCTCGGAGTCCACTCTTTTCTTCACAGAAATGAACTCAGCAGGAAATCAGTCATTAACACATGTTGTGTATGCGAAGTTCTGGAATTTATGTGTAAAACTGTATAGTAATGAAATATTGAAGGCAATGTCAAACAATGTGATTATAATCTAAGATGTAAAGTACCTTTTGATAGAGAAGCGGTGAGGGTTTATCTGGATTTCTGGTGGTCAGTGAGGATTAGGGCTGGGCGATATATTTTTCCATATTGGTTTTTAGACCACATCATGATAACCTTTCAAAAACAATTGATATGGCAACACCCCACAGATCACAGTGTCTGGGATGCTCATTTGCCTGGAAGCAGCCGGCAGAAAGCTTTGCTTCGTGAAGCCCCAGCAGATGCCGAGTTGCTGACTTCCCTCCAAAACCACATGAAGGGAAACACACCTCCATTGCCCTGTGTCCTTCCAGCCTCTTTCCTCCCTTGCTCCCTTCTGCCGGTTTGTGTGCCTGACTTAGATATCCTGTGTGCTGTATTTTTTTACTGCTGAAAGTGGATTTTCTCTCAGAAGCAAAGTTTTGTGCATCACTGGGGGCCCAGGGAGAACTGTATGCATTGAAAACTCAGTAAACTATTACTGAAGAAGTCCTGCTGCCTCTGTGTGTGTTTTTGACCTCAGTGTGGGAATTGCTCTACATGTGGCCCCTACCCTGCCGATACTTGGCTCATGCTCTGGAGTTGCTGTACTCAAACATGAAAGACGGGTGCATCTGTATGTGACTGGTTTTTGCACCAAACTCTCTCACCCCCCCCCCACATATGATCTCTGAATACTGCTTCTTCACTACAACTTCTCGCGGCCTCCTACGTGTTCTGAAGAAAACTTAAAATACTCTAATTTAATGGGAGATTTTCCCCCATGCCTTATTGCAAGAGGGGGAAGGAGGGGCTGCAGGTACCAGGGAAGTCTCCTGGGGGGCCCATCTTCCCTCACGAACCCCATAGGGCAACCTCAAAGCTCCTGCTTATTCTGGGGTTTGGGGAAGATAGTATTTTTCCATAGTCCCAGAAGTTATCATTCTTCCTGCCAGAGGACCAGTGTGCATATTATTATCGTACTGAATTTACTGTTGTTGCTGCTTTTGCTGTCATGGACTGGCTGGGTGAAGGGGGGGAGGCACCAGCTGGGGGACCCCCAAGGGAAGAAGGCTCGGAGTCCGGGTGTTGTATGCCCCCAAAGGCTATCAAGTCTCCTAGGTCTGACCAATAAAAGGTGAATTTGGTGTTACGGGGGGGGGACCCAGGTGTGAGGCTGCTCAGCCACCCAGCTCATCAGGTAGAGCCCGTGGGTCCCTGCGGAATAAAGGAAGGAGTCCAGCCACCAACCAGAGCAAATAGCTGTAGATCGAAGTTTATTGCGCAACAGGTTGAAAGAGGAATTGAACCCCAAGGATGGGGAATCTTCTTTCTTGTAGTTTGGATCCATTGCTCCATGTCCCCTTCTCTGGAGCAGCAGAAAACAACCTTTCTCCCTCCTCCATAGGACATCCTTTTATATATTTGAACATGCCTATCTGTAATGGTTCTAGGGGTTGCTCGTGCGTAAATTGGTGCCAATTCTTGGCTTGCTCCTCTGGTTGAACCCTTTCTGTGCGGACAGTCACTCACTGTCTCAATCGCTCAATCGCTGGCACAATCCGTCAGTGGGCGTCTCTTGAACTTCTTCCAACATAAAAATTCCTTGACAGCAAGTCTCCACCTTTGTTCTCTGCGCGGAAGCCTTCTGCGCAAGAACGGTGTGGGCGGCAGAGGACCCTCACTCCCCCTGCTGGTTCCCGGCAAGGACTCATGGGAATGCCTCGCCGATTCCCCCTTCTGCCCCCCTTCTCCACTGGTGCTATGCTCCCTCCCTTCTCCAGAAGAAGGGCTGCTTCTTCCCCTCCCGGGACTCTCTTCAGAATCCCTCTGGAGCTCTCTCTCTCTTTCCATCCCTCATGGCAGTTCCCTGACATCCACCTCCCCTCCAGGACCCCCCTCATCCCCTGCTCGAGTCTCCGTTCCCACCTCCTCTCTCCTCTCGGCCAGCGATGCAGAGAAATCCCTGAACGAGCTGTTATCGTCCTCTGAGGATTCAAACCGAGCCTCCCATCCGCTCTGATCTCTTCCCGCTGGTGCCACCTCCTGGCCTGATTCTTCTCCCTCAGACACCTCCCCTCCCTCCTCTTCGGAGGCAGGGAAGCCTACAAAGTCCCCTTCTTTGTCTGTGGTCCCAAATTCTTCCTCCCAAAATCTAGCTAGTGGTTTTGGCTTATCTGGGAACAAACACTGGAATTCTTCCACCAGAAGCCTGTCTGTGATTGAATCAGCTGGTACCCATGTGTTTTCCGACTGGGGTGCTCCTTCCCAGGCCACCAAGTATTCCACCTGGCGACCTCACCACCTTGAATCGATTATCTCCGTGGCTTGGTTACAGTGCTCCCTCTCCTCTACCCGCGGGTGGGTGGTGGTTCCTCCTTCCCGCCCCTGAAATTCCCGCCCTTCTCTGTACGGTGAAAGTAGGGACCTGTGGAACACCGGATGTATTTTCATGCTGTCAGGCAACTTGAGTTTGAATGCTACGGGGTTCACCTGCTGGATGACCTCGAAGGGCCCCAGTCGCCTCGGCTGCAACTTCTTGCACCCTCCCTTCAGGGGTAACCCGGGGGTCGACAACCACACCCGGTCTCCCACCCGTATGGCATCCCCGTACGTATTCTCTTATGTTCTCCCTCACCTTTGGCCACCAGAACTGTCTGGTGACAAGCAGCATGGTCTTGTGCTGTCCAAAATGCCCAGCTGTTGGGTTGTCGTGGAGTTGTTTGAGTACTCTTCCCCTCAAGGCCTCCCCTGGTACATACAGCGCCCCTTATAATACAATAGCCCTTCCTTTTCCTCAAACCCTCCCTTGTCCTCCCTACCGTCTCGGAGTTCCCTGATTTTTGTCTGAGCGAATGCATCGTCTCTGGTAAGCTCTACCAGTTCTCCCTTCCCAACCAATGTTCCACCACACACCTACCGGTCCTCGGGGAACACGTGTCGGGCCTCCGGTGGTCCCTCCCCTTCCATGTACTCCGGTTTCCGGGAGAGTGCATCCGCCCTTACGTTTTCCTCTCCTGGCACGTATCGGATCTCGAAGGAAAACTTGGAGAACTCTTGGGCCCATCGAATCTGTCTCTGGTTGAGCACTCGTGCGGTCCACCAGTATTCCAAGTTCTTGTGGTCCGTTCTGACTTGTATCTTGTGCCG